TAATACATGTTAATATAGTTTTTCTAGCAAATCAATTATTTGAAGAAATCAAAGTTTGTCTTTCTTGGAATGGCATTGCTCTCTTTGACTCACTCAAGAATAAAAAAACAAACAAATTACCCTTGTATGAATTGGAAAAAAATAGTAGAAGTCAAGATTATTCTTCATTTGAACTTAAAAAATAAAAATCTTTGTATTAACTAAGAACTTACAAGGATTAAATGATTTAAATAAAATTAATATAGTACAGAATTAATTTTGGAGGTAATTATTAAAAGTGAATATTATTTGTATATGAGAATATAAATGAAGAATGATGAATCTTAAATTGTTGAAAAATTACTTTGATAAAGAGTAAAATTCATTGACCAAAAAACTGATATTATTTATAATCACATATGAGACAATGTAGGAACAAGTAGTAGAGAGATTAGAATGTAGATTACTCCTTGCATAATTCATCTTATAGAGCCAATTAATCAATCTCAATTGAAGCAAGCACAATGGATCTAATTCTATAGAATAGATTGCTTCAATATCTTAGTTTCAAATATTTATACTCTATATTATATAAGGGAGCAAAGTGAGTTATAATGGAAGTTGTTAGATACCTTAGTCATAGATTGTAGATAGATTCTAACATGTAATTGAAACTTCATTAAGAGAAGTTATAATAAATCCAACTCACAAGGATCAATAATATTGGAGGAGAGAAAAAAGAATTTTTAATATCCTTAAAATAGCCTTACAAGTAAGTAACAACTTCTTTACATCTTATGTACTTCATTTTAATTGGAACAATAGAATAAGGAATGATTTTTTGGTATTGGTGTGGTTATACCATACTTATGTCTTCATTCCATTGAGATTAGTATGGCTAATTTGAATTATATCCTATTAAATGATAGTATGAGATTGGATCATCTGATAATAGGGCACCACATCCAAATACAACCTAATGAAAAGAAGAAGTCAATTTATAAAATGAACGTATAATTTCTTAAAGATACAATGGTCTAAGAGCAAGTATGAAGAATATGAGAAGCACATCTTAAATTCTTTTTTTTTTGGCATGTTTTATCATTGCAATAAATTTTAGAAGTTATATTGCATCAACAAATTAACAAAGAGATCTCACAAAAAAGAAAGGTCATAAGACCATCTTAGCGAGGATGTTGCTAAATTACAGAAAGATCCAAAGGACACTACATAATAGACAAAGTTTGCCAATATGATAGACTTCTTCAAGTAGTATAAAAATAAGAAGACAATAGAGCAGATATTGCACGCTCACTTAAAATGACAAAATACCTAGAACAAGTATTCAAAAGCCTTTATTTAGATCTATAAAGAGAAATTAGGCACATTACATGTGACCAAGATTATGAAAAAATATGAATTGGTGCATAATCACTTGAATGTGATGGCCCATATTTGCTATGAAGGTTATAATGCCTTGTATAGAATCTAATCCAAGACATTGGCAATAGAAGGGGCAATACTACAAGCACTTTTAGATATCATGGATTGACTAAGCTCAAAAGAAAATGAAAGTTTAAGTAGACCTTTCAATTTAGTAGAAATCATAACAACAATAAAAGAGATGAGGGAAAAAAAAAAAGTTTGGTCTAAATGGAATTATTCTTAAGTTCTATATATTTATTTGAGATATCTTGGGGCCAAAATATCTAATCATTTCATAAAAAATTATTCATAATGTATGCCTTTCATTAGAGGTAATCTAAGGCCTTATAGCTTTATTGCATAAAAGAAGCATAAGACATAGTCTATCAAATTTGAAACTAATTACTTTGTTCAATGTGAGATATAAAATTTATATAAAGTCTACGTACTTAAGACTTCAATCTATACTTAAGAATATCATCAGTATGGATCAATTTGCCTTTTTACCTAATTGATATATTTTAGACAATCTTTTATTGATCCATGAAACTATGGCTTGGGCTAAGAAATTAAAGCAACAATTTTTTTTTAAAAAAAACTTGATTTCTCCAAAGCTTATGATATGGTTGAGTAGAAATTTCTTTTCTACACAATGGAGGCATTAGAACTACTAAGAGATTTTATTCAAATGGTTAAATTATTATTCACTAGTGCAAAAGTATGTGTAAACATCAATGGAATTCCTTCCAAATCATTCATGATAGAAAGAGGTGTAAGACAAGGTTGTCCACTAGCCTCCTATTTATTTCTTATAGCAGTTTATGTCATCAATACAATGTTTATGAAAGAAGCTAGGATGGTGATAATAAAAAGAATACAATTACCTACAGAGCAAAGACAACAAATAATGGCACAATATCCAAATGACAATTCCTTGATCTTGAGAAAGAGAAGAAAATATACAATAAGTAATTTATATTCTTGAAACATATTGCTTAGGTTTGGATCTAGTCTTCAATTGAAACAAATCAAGTGGTCATTAGAAGAATGATCACACTCTTATCTAACTAAGTTGGACCAATGAGCTAAACATTACTTGTACTAATGAAAATGAAGTAAGCAAATTATTGGAAGTACCATTTGGAATGTCTTTAACTTTAAAAGATTTTAATTCTTTATTAAAAATAAAAATCAATAAGAAATTAAACCATCGGTGCTCAATAATGATTAATACTATTAAAAGAAGTGTTATTGTAAATAATGTCTTCTTATCAATAGTATTTTATTTTATTTCTTTATGAGAAGGAACTAAAAAAGTCTTATCACTTATAAAAGCCTCTTTGCATAACTACCTTGCAGAAGATACTATGCATAGGGCTCAAAGTAAAATGGCATGAATCCAATATTGTCAATTATTTCATAGTAGAGGTATTAACCTTATCAACTTAGCAGATGCGGTGGCAGCATTGTTAATTAAATAGATTCCACAAGCAATAGAACTATAGGAGGCCAATCTACATATGATACTAAGATATCACCTTAGTCAATTTCAACCATATGTACAATGAAGGTGGCAATCAAGCCTTGAATTCTTCACTATAAAAAATCACCAAAATAAGAAAGAATCAAGGATATGGAACAAGATTGTGGCATCACAAAAAGACCTCCTTCCAATATCATATCATCCTCCAATGTGTCATGAGAAGTTGATTAATTGCAGCATTTTGCATGACCAAGAAATTATCAACATTGGTTCTGGAATCTCAAAGAAAAGAGCATCAAAGTTGTATAAAAACAGCCTACAAAACTAAGGAGACTTTTGGGAGAATGGTAATTTTTTAAGCTTCATGGTTCTAAGTGAGCTCTTAGGGCTAGAGCCTCAAGATGAGGGAGTCTGGTCAATAATAGCTAATAAGTTAGCTCAAAAAAGAGACACTCCTCTCCACCTCTTCCCAGTGGCTGTAAGAAGAATGGGTGGGCACTTTCACGGATGAAGATACAAGGACCCCCTGGTAGTCTGGTAGAATTCAACCGCATATCCTGTCAATCTATCCTCAACGGAATTCTAGATCCCACCCCAAGTCCGCTTATTCAACCCAGGTGGAGGAACACCCATCTTGTTTGAGCTCAAACAAAGATGAGCTCAAACAAGGATGGAGACATGCATTGCACCCAGTGTCAACAAACGGAGTTGACGGTGGAATCTATATAGCAGGCAGCCCGAAGAGGGTACAAATTATCTTAGTAACGAGAGGACAAAATAAAAAAGACAATTCACTTGTGTTACGGTAGAATTGATCGTCTGATATGGGATCCAAGACGATATCAATGGACTAGTCAAATTCCATTTATGCAATGTAATGCACAGTTGGATCGAGCTTTGCTCAAAAAACAGCATGTGATCACCGATGTGGTATCGCACAAGTGAAGCGGCATTCTTCCACAAGGTTTTAAACTAAGATGGGCTAACATGTGGGATGCGAAGAGAGGCAAAAAAGAGGCAGGCCTCAAATGGTTAACATGACACAGATCGGTTGCATTGAACGCCTGGAGACGGCAAGCAGAGACGTCGACCAGTGTGTCATGTCTGCCTAGAAGGAATTTGCGAAACAATGCTTCATCAATTTTGGGAGTGTAACTCCGCAGCCCGAGCGGTGGGGTGGGATATTCACCTTCTTCATTTCATCACTCTAAAGGTCGGACAACGAACAAATAGAGGTCAGGGAGGCAGTGGTAACACGTTCAATGTGGCCCACGGAGAGGACAGGCAGCAACTACAAGATATGCAGGGTGGTAACAACCAAGAAATCAGACTTACGCAATTCACACCATCATGGATTCATTGTGTGTTCGCATTTAGGACACCTAAGCGTTTCAAGAAGGCGAGTCGCTTGTGGCTGTTAATTCGAGGAATAATCATGTGGGTGATTTGGATTGAAAGGAACGATGATGCATTCAATGGCGTCTTCTGGCCAAAAGAACAAGTATTTCACCTCATTTGGTTGCAGTTGGTAGACTGGCAAGAACATTTGGTTCAAAATACAAGAAAATACAAAGCGTAGACTACTCCAGGCAACAGCCTTTGTTCAGCAATTTCGGCAGTTATGGTGTACGAATCAAATGTTAGCAACATGGTAGGTAAATAAACCTGAGTGGAAATTATCGTGGGCTAGGAACAATGTAGAAACTAGCTAAAGTACGTAAACCAAATTACCTAACCGGACCTGGTTGGGGGTCTGTGCCTTCTACTTACCAGCAATTGAGCAATTACTCTATTTGTGTCAAAAAGATAATAAAACAATAAAATAATAAAAATCTAGAGCTGCACCAATCAAGTCCACGTTTGCAGGTGCATGTGGACAGAACGAGTAAATTGTTAAAAGTTTTCTGGTACATCTAGACATTACCTCGGACCGGTGGTTTGACTGCCCGCATTAGCAATCTTCGGTTAGTAATCGACGTCTCTTGAAGACACTAAGAAGTATGTTCTCGCGGGTGACTATAATCAGAAATTCATTACACTCCCGACGAGCGTGGTTGAAAGAATCGTCTTTGGTGTGTAAATCAGTTCATTATTTGCAAGTAGCATCATCATATTATTCAAGTGAGCTCGCTGATTGCAACAGATAAGTCTTTCCAATGATACAAAACACTAGTCTTCCAGATGTGCTGCATTTCCTAATCGGACACATGTCACGTATTAAAGCTGGTGTATCAACGCGTAGTATATCTGATAGACTCACGGATTTCGAGTGATACCAACTCGGATCTGAATTTCACTCCAGACCGCATAAGTTCCTGGAGTGTCCAAATAACAATAGAGAATTAGGAAAGAGGTGGAGTGAAGGCCAATGTACACCGAAAAGTAGAACTGTGTCAAAAAAGCTTTATAAAAAAAAAAATCACAGGAAATGAGAAACACCGACTCTACATTGTGAACCTCTTCATCCCTGGTGTTATACATCCTAATACACGTAGTTCTTCACATGCAAGCTCTCGGTGCCTTCGCCTGATGCGTTTCCGCCGTAAGTGCCCAAAGTAGCCTCGGAATTGGCCTTAGCGCGGACGTGAAGAGCGTCTTGGGCAGCCTTCACATTCTCCTTCTTACCACCCCATGTCTTCAAGACGGTAGCCTGCAAGGCACGACCGAAGGAGAAGGACAACGCCCATGGCTTGGTTGTCTTCAATGCATTCATCGCATTGAGGTTCTGAGTGGCTTCCTCCTCAGACTGTCCACCGGACAAGAAAACAATGCCAGGAACAGCTGGAGGAACAGTTCTCTGGAGAGTACGCACGGTATACTTCGCAACCACCTCGGGAGCTACCTTCTCGGCATCAGAACCAGGAGTAACCATGTTAGGCTTCAGGAGAGTTCCCTCCAACAGCACATGTTGGTCATTCAGGGCCTTGTAACAAGCGGCCAACACCTTCTCAGTGACCTCAGCGCACTTGTCGATGCTGTGAGATCCATCGACCAAAATCTCGGGCTCGACAATGGGAACAAGTCTACACACAACAAATAATCATAAATTAGACTATGATTACTCTTGAAACTATCAATGCGACGGCGAAAACATTTATGGCAAGAGTGTTCGCTTGCGCGAGGGCAGAGAGTCAGCGACATTATCATGGTCAACGAATCCTCACACGTTATCTTGCAGGACAAAAACATATATATATATATATATATATATATATATTATCGAGCGTTGCTTCAGAACAGCGGAAACTAGTTTCAAGGACGCAAATACTAGAATGTAGCGCAGCTGCATACCCGTTCTCCTGACAGATGATGGCGTATCTAGCAAGGCCTTGTGCATTCTGTTGAATGGCGAGCTCGGTTGGTTCAAGCTCTCCAATCTTCAAGACAGCCCTCCACTTAGCGAAACGTGCACCGGCGTCGTAGTAAGCAGCACATCTTTTGTGAAGGTCATCGAAACCCTGGGTGGTGGTCTCACCATTGGTGCCCCAAAGGTTGATTGTACCTTTGTCGACCTTGATCCCGGGAATGATTCCATTTTCCTTCATGACATCAACGAAGGGCTTTCCATCGGCAGTCTTCTGGTACAGAGTCTCCTCGAAGAGGATGACACCGCTTAAGAACTCGCCTACTCCGGGCGTGGTGAACAAGAGCTCCCTAAGAGCTTGCCTGTTGGCTTCAACATTCTCTACCTTGATGCTGGACAACCGCTTCCCGATGGTACCCGTGCTCTCATCGGCAGCGAGAATACCCTTCCCAGGCGTGGCAATGTACTTCGCTGTGGCTTGAAGCTCCTCAGCGTACTTTCCCGAGTAAGGTGCCATTTCTCGGTAATAAATTGCTTGAGAGATCTGTAAAGGTCGAGAAAACAACACCACTTAAATTTCCGACAAATTCCGCCTGGTAAGACCAGTAAGGCACGACTTCTGAACAAGATGAAAAACAGACAACGAGCCTAACTCGCACCTGCGGTGTAACCCTAAACTAAACTCAATCCATTAACTAAAACCGCATCAACCACGCGTAGCAACGACGAGGAGAGAAAACCACGCACCTAGCAGCGGTGCCGGTGTAGAGAACCCGGAGAGACGATCCAACAACTTTCACTGAGTCAGAGTGTTTCCTACATTTCCAAAGTGAGGGAGTGATCCCTTATACTCCATTGCCCCCTTTCCGGCGATGCACCGAAGCGTACTCGTACATGTATTCGTATTTATGTTCTGATACGGATTACTAACAGGCTATACACGGGCTTGTCAGCGCGGATGCGTACTACCGGGGGGCCATCCGCGCTTGTGTGGCTTGACGACGGCGACCGGGTGGGGGCGGTATCCGGTGAGAGCTTATCCTCATCCCACGGCTGCTAAAACAAGGCCCTGCGGGACTCGGATCGGAACGGCTCGGGAATTGGGCTCGTTCCCAGATGCGAACATGTCGGCCTTGGGATCCTCACCGGGAGCCATGCACCTACACATGCATTGCTCACGTCAACTGATGGAAGTTCCAAGTCTAGTTTAGTGCTTCCTTGGATCGTCCGTCAGCTTCATGTCTACTGCTTGATATTATCAATCTTCACTGTTGAACGGTGCTTGAAGTGTTGGTAATTCAACGTAACTTCTTTTGTAGGTAATCGTACATTAATTTTTATATAAATAGAATAAATATAATTCATGGTTATCATACATAAATCATCACTATTCTCGTAGTTGTTGGATGTACAACGAAAAATATCTCCAGTTTTTTCAACTTTGTACAAAGAGAAGATTCAGGATGTTTGCATCACATGCTCAAATTCCTGGTGATATTTCACATATAAACAACTACCCGGAACTTGCTTATTTTTTTTATTTTTCCTACAGAGAAAAATAATCGGGTGACATATTCTAGTCAATCTGTTTATCCACAAGTGGTTGATTCGAATAGATAGGGTACATATCATGGAACGATTAAGATTGTTAAATATGGGGGACCTAGACTCTCGACTGGGCACAATTCATGTCTTCAGACTGTTATTAGACTTTGAAAACGGGGTAGTGCTTTGGCGTTCGGGGTCTCGGATATTTTTCCACAAACCCAATGGATGTGAGGATTTCCCTAATGCAGGCCAGGGACAGTGCTGCCCAGCCCATATTTAGAGGCACCGCTAAATATGGCCCCAGTGACGACACCAAACCGAGAGGCAGAGACCCACAACACCAACTGTTGCCCCTCGATCCTATCTCCCCACTGCGACACTTGGCAATCATAGCAGTCCGAGGGTGCTTCCACACCTTTCTAGAATATCAATCGGAATACAGTGTACACCCACATTGCTAATCCCTATTATACCGGCCTCACACCCCCGGTATCGCATGCACAAAAGATATACGGTGTATACCCACCTTGCTGACCCCTATTATACCGTCAAATTCTTCCTCAAATGATACCCTAAAACTGATCCCAGCAAGCAACTGTGCGAACCCACCCTGTTCTCAAACTCTCTCTCTCTCTTACAGTATTTAATGATGTTGTTTACCGTTCCAGTTCAATTTCTTCACGAGAGAGAAAAAAACAAAACAAAACAAAAAAAACAAAACAAAAGACTTCTCCTTTCTAAAACTACCAAAAAAAGGTTAGAAATTTCTAATATCTTAGAAATTTTCAAATATCTTGGAAAAGTTGAATCTTTGGGTTCGTTGGAGCGTGATTGGGGAGAGGGAGTCCTTTTCTTTAATGATCAGCTTTTCTATCCTCCTTTTGCTGGGACCACTTGTTCTTGTGAGCAAAATTGCTTATGAACCTCCACATCGTGATGGGGAAGTGCTGGACCCCAGAATCTTCCAGTGTGGGAGGAGTATATGCTTCGAATGGGACTGCAAAAATTTCACGTATAGCTCACTCAGTTCTCTGCAAATGGAAGGGAGACACGAGAAATTCGTATAAAATCATATAAATTTAGAAGGGAACGCGTTCTGTGTGGATTGATATCTCATTTGCTCTATCATCCTTTGGAGATATGGAAAATAAATGAAAGGCAGTGACTTGATGCTCGAATGTCAATGGGCACATCCTTTGGGAGAGCTCAAACCCATAATTGTACGCATATCCAGAAGTAGGAAGTGTAGAATATTAAAGCATTGGAAGAGTCTTTTGAAAGCTTTTTCGTTATCGTTTTTGAACGCAAACCTGTCGATGAATTTTGTTGTTTTTGTCCTGCCTATTACTGCAGTTGAATGTTTCACTCAATATTTATGATAATTTTTTTTAAAAAAAAATTACTACATCAAATTTATAGATTATTTATTTGATATTTGATTCCTTCTTTCTTTTATATATATATATATATATATACATATGTGTGAGTAATAATAATAATAATAATAATAATAGCAATGATTGTATTTGTTTCAACCTCAAGTAATGTCTTTTGCCATGTTATTTCCAAAATCAATGAATATGTTGAAATACAAGAGTGGTAGAGGATTGAAATTTTCAAAATTTTCAAAAAGAAAATAATAATATTAAAGATATCTTTTATCTGTAATTCTCGAATTGTAAATCATGATTATAATAATTTAATCAAAGACCCAAACTATAAACCATGTGCTTAGTAAACTTGCACACCTTCCCTGTGAAGTGGCACGAAGCCAAAAAGAAAGAGCAAATATGACAGATATTTTTATACTAGACAGTGGCTTTCGGCTATGAATGCCATTTCCTGCTCAACCACGGACAAGATTGTAAACAGTTTGCAAATCTTCATCAGTGAAACAGTAACCTGATAACCACAAATAGCATGTATGCAAGCATGAAACCCTAAATCCAATAGAGTGATGCAGAGAGTTTGGCTTGAGAATTCGGTGTTTACAGGGTTTAGGGTTCAAGGAGTTTTCTTCAGGTTTCGAAGCACCAATGCTGCGGGGTCTGTGCTGGAAAATGGTTAAGTAGTAAACCTTGACCAAGCTTCGTCTCTTTTTCTGAGGTTTGGGCTGAATAATGCCACGGTAGTCCTTTTATCAGGAGATCGACTTCCTTTTGTGCACAAACTAGGGCTTGAACGAGTTCCAAATGTCTCAAAGATCTCTGCAGAATTGGCAGTTAAGCCGTTGGCGTTCCTAACCGATCCACTGATGTTATAAGCTTCAATGTGGATTCCAAACAGTTAAAACGAAGGCATGTGCTGTAGATGTGAATTAAATCTCTATCATGGTGCCACTGTGTTGTCACTGCAGCCTGATGGGTATGCTAGAATAAAGCCTAAGTTCAATTTCCTCACCTGAAGCCCTATCATCTGTCAGTTTTCTGCTATGAACTGGTGCGCATTTTCGAGTCTCTGGCATGCAGGTAATTCCACACACAAGCCGAAAAATCGCACGAACGAGAATCAATGCTCCATCAACACTTCGAATCAAGGTTGAAACTGTCAATCACTCATCACGGTCAGTACGAGAGTGAGCTCTTCCTCGAGTCTATTTGCTTTTCATGTTGCGATGTGAAACCCAGTGCTCTCCACAAATGCTGATTCTTAGTCCGTGTGTTCGCTGAAACTCTTCTCATTGACGATTTTTCTTCGATGTGTCTCAGAGACAGGCTTGAGGAATTACGAATCTACAGCAGCAGCGGCTTGGAATGTTAATCTTGTAGTCTTAATAATCGCTCGTATTCTCTGGCACGCTGTACCCACATGCAACTCACAGCTGCAGAATTTCATCCTACTGCCACCTTTTTCTCACTGTCTCAGATGAAGGCCGGCCACCAATCAGTACTGAGTCCATCCACGATGGGGTCCGGATCCTGAGCATCGACAGGCTCGACTGGTCCAGAGTTGCTTTGCTCTGTGCTCTGTTGCTTCTACGCTACCTTTTCTTCTCATGCTGCGATTTCGTGCTGAGTCTCGTGCGAGTATTGCCACCACAACAGTTGCTGGTAAGCGTTTCGTTGCTCAGAAGAGGCTGTTGTGAAGAGCAGTTCCGATCAGAGGGAGGGGTACTTTGTTAAGCTGAGGGTGTCATGGGTTGAGCGGTCTGCAAGTGTTGGAGGATTCCAGTGTCAAGGCCTTGACGGGATCTGAAGCGACAAGGAGACAACAGCCATACCTGAATGGTGCGTATGATGAATAGCTTTGCCGGAGTGCCTGTGTTGGTGAGAGTTTGCTGTGAGGGTCGATGTGCAGGTTCACACCATCAGCTGGTTGCCTGTGGAGAAGTTGCTCTATTTGGATCTGCATTTTTTTTTTTTTTTTTTTTTTTTTTTTGTCGCTGCCAGTCACGATTGCATGCGATGGAGGGCATCTGAGATTTGCTTGTGAGTTTTGTTGTGTTTGTGTTGGTCGTGAGGGGCAGAGTGGACGATGGTGTTCATGTTGTGGGTTTTGAAGAAGATTGCCTAGTTGAGTGGGATGCTGTTGCAGGAATGCAGTTTGGTGATGGCTTTGTTGTAGCTTAGTAAGCATGAACACGAGATTGCAATGGACCTCAATTCGAATGTCGTCCACAATGAAGTTGTATGTTTTGGATTGCTTCCACATGAGTTGTTTTCTTGAAGCTTTGAGAGATGGATGTAGACATTGGGATTTTGGTGTTCAATTGATACTAAAATTGATGGTTACTGTTGAGGCTAGTGATTTAAGGAATTAAAAAGAGAATATTTATATATATATATATATATATATGATACATCTTGGTTGTAGTTTTTGGAAGTAGTTTCTTAAAATTGGTTTATTTATAAGATTGGTTTATAAGATTTTATAAGATCTTGGTTTATAAGATGGTTTATAAGATTGGTCAATAAAAGTTTTGAAAATAAGATAATTGGATATAATTAATGCAAGTTGAGCATCCCTATGGAGAAATTTGGAGTGATCTAATTTGTATCGTGTGGCTTTTTTTGATTGTATTGTGTGGATTTTTTAAAATGAATCATGTGGATTTTTTTGATTGTGAAGGTATTGAATGTTAAGAGGTCAAAAAAAAAGTTGGAATACACCTATTTACTAACAAATCTAGGTATGTTCTAGATATGTGATGATTTGATTAATAATTCTAATGACTATCTTTTATTGTGGAAGATTAAATAATTAATACTTGTATTGTGAAATATTGACAATGATGAATAAGCATGTGAGATTGTGATTTTAAATATAAGAAGATTGTGTTGGCACTAGAAGTTATATTAATAAGGTTAGAGTTTGTTATTTTACTTTTGCATGAGTTGTATTTGTAAATGAATTGTATGTGATTTAGTAACTCTTTAATTATTTTTATTTTTATTTATTTATCATATATTGGGATTTATAAAAAAAGCTCTAAAACTTGTATGGATCAAAAGAAGAATTGGCAATGAGGGTATATGGAATGAATAATTTAAAGAATATAAGAAAGCAAGATAGAAAAGATAATTTATATTATATGATATTAAGTTTTGTTTCATAATTAGAAGATAGAAAAGACCATTTATAGTATAAAATGTTAAGTTTTGTTTTGTATTAAGAAAAGTAAAAATTGGCATTTAATTTGATGTGGTAATTTGGATAGTTTGTAAAATTATAAACATGTAAAGAAAGGAATTAATATGATGTTATAGTATTGATAAATGTTTTAATACTTTTGTAGGATTTAAGCTTTAATTTGTATGATTAATAAACTTACTCCTATGTATTTGAAGTGTTAAAAGTAGTGAATTTTAACATATTAAAAAGGTAGATTGTAAAATACAAATGATACGATATAATGTTTGAAATATTTAAAAATCAAATAATTAGTTGAAAAAAGATATGAGATGGTCTTGGTAATCTTATTTGTTTGATATAAGTACATTTATTGCAAAATTTAAGAATTAAATTTGAATATTTATTAGTAATCTATTATGGTGAATTATTCTATTGTTTTTTTTAGAAGGACTTGCATTTTGATCAAAAATAAAATAGATTAAAAAGATATACACATTTTTTTCTAATGACAAATCTTGACAAAAAAAATCAAGGTTTAATAAAGAAAAAATCATATTGAATAAAAATCAATGTCAAAACTTGTAGACAAGACTTTATGTTATAAAAGTTTTTAACAAGTCAATGACTTATAATACTAACATTAAGAAGCATAGGCTTATATTTGATGAATTACTCATGGTGGTATTCAAAATTCACTTGATGACAATAAACTGTTGAGATTGCAATCAATAAGAATTATTAAAATTTTAAATAATGAATATAAAAACTTTTAGCAAATTAGTTTGGATTTGAAGCATTGTTTTAATGTAACATTTACAAGAAGTAGAAGTTATTATATTTATTATATTTGATGCTACTACATTTGATGGAGTTAAAAAAATAAAAATAAAAGCCTTGATAAGAGATTGATTAGTAGAATCCAAAATGCTTGTCTTAAAGATTGTAGATTAATTGAATATGTATTATAAAAATGGAAAGACTTATATTGCATTAAAAATGGAGAGTTTGGTATTTTCAATCTTTCAAACAACAACAAAGTCTTACAAATTAGTACTTGCATAAGCAAAGGTAGTAATAGAGTTATTTACAAATATAAGTGGTTTGGAATCTTCAGTGCCGAAAAGAAAATAAAAACTATTTAAAAAAAATATGTTTCTATTAAAGTAGGCATTTTAGCTATGTTGAACCATCTAAACCTTGCAAAATATTTTTTAGTAGCAAGAGAGAACAAAAAATAAGTTATGTTAGACTTATGTTATAAAAGATAAAAATTTAATTTTATATATATATATATATATATTATTGATTGATATTAACTTTCAAAAATTATCAAAGAAAAAAAAGTTCATTGCATATTACTTATTTATTGATATCATCTATTAAGTTGCAAAAGAAATGTGTTACATGCATGATATGTAAATTATTTATTACAAGCTTAAGTCAAATAATATACTTTTAAGAAAAAATAAATAAAAAATACTATAGAATATGTATTTGTAAAAAAAAGTAATTTAGATACTTCTATGATTAAAATTACAAGGACTTTACGAAATAGAAATTATAATTTTTTATATCGTATACTAAGGTATGTGACTCCTATAATATCAAATAATGAAAATATGTCAATATAAATATGTCTTTTTGAGGCAAATGTTTTTTTGTTTGCAATGATATATTTTAAGGTTCTTTCAAAAAAAAAATCATTTTTTGGTATTGATAGAAAACATAACAAATAAAAATAATAAGTAAAAGAAATATGTCAAATTTGTCTTCAAATTGTGATGAGTTGATTGAAATAATAAAGCAATGTTGGCATTTAAATCTTTTAAAATATTTAAAATTTAGAGATATTAGTTAATTACTTCTACAATTAAAGATAAAGTTTTTTAGATGGATTTTATAAAACTTTAGATAATTTTTTTGTATTTTTAATAAATTTCATAAAATGATGAAAAATAGTAATATTAAAAAATTATGATATTCAAGAGATAAAGCTTGTATTTATTATTATTTTGTTTCTTTAATTAATTTTTTTAGTCTTAAAATTAATTTAAGTGGTTCAATAATAGATAAAATTTGAACATGTAATTATGTAAAAATATTAAATTATAATATATACATTGTATAATTTTTTTGGTTTTATTATTGTAATTGTTTTTATAGGTATATTTTTTAGAAGAAAAATCATCCAAAAGAAAAGAATGTTCAAAATAAATATTAGAACTATGAAAAAAATGTGTAACGACATTATATCTTATTGGCATGGATAGAATTGACAACTCTATATTAATAAGATTTACTTTCAATGATCTTATATATATATATATATATATATATATATATATATATATATAATATTTCATGCTTTGTTAAGAACTTTCAAATAGTAGTGATATCTATACAATCTCTTGTAAAAATTTCAAATTATTTAAACTTAAAAAAAACTAATATTTTTAATGATATACAAATATTGCTAAAACCATTCTTGTGAAAAAATAAAATTATCATGGTCTTAGACAATATGAAAGAATTAAATCAAATTAAAGATGTTGTTTCTATAGATGTTATTATTTGGAAGAAATAGAAGTATGTTGATTGTAATTACAAAAAATTGGAATTTTATGAAATATTTTTCTAAAGAGATTTCTAAAATGGTTTTGAAAGAACATAAAATAAGTAAAATTTTGGAGGTATTTTTTACTTATTCTTGTAAAAACCAAATTGCATTATGCAAGAAATTTAACAACATAAGTAAAAATATTGTAAAATCTTTAAATTTCTTATTTTTAAGCTTAAAAGTTATAGAAGCATTTCAAAGATCAATTTTTTTAACATATTAATTTCTAAGATTAGTAGAGTTAGGTAGAAAAAAATAGAAGTAGATAAATTTGATGGTATCTTAAAAAAAAACTTGATAGAAGTTTTGTAGGTGCCAATTTGACTTTTTTGAAAGGTTATAAGAATAAAGATTATATTTGAGATGAATAAATCAAGTCAATACAACTATTCTTAGGTGTTTAAAAACTTATTTATCGAGACTCAAACCTATGCAAATTGATGGATAATATTTTAAATCTCTTATGAGTTAGAAAAGATTAAATAATATATAAGAGGATTATATTTATATCATATAGAACTTAAGGACATTGTTCACTATTAATTAAAAAAAAAAGAAAAAAAGAAAAAAAAAAACATAACTAAAAAAATGAAGAATATGGCTATTAATAAATATTATGTATTGAAAAATAATTTTGTCCAACTACAATAGGCACACTTTAATTGGACCATTGTGCAACTCTAGTGAAGGTTATGCTCGCTCTTTAAAATTCTTACTGAATTTTACAATAGATGTTTATTTTAAGATCTAAAAACTACAAATATTTTGTTAGATTCATTAATCTCAGTTTAATTTTTAAATAAAGACTTTGTTAAAAGACATATTATGTTTTTGATAAAATAAAACTAAGTTTGTACATGTGAAAATCTTAGATGGTTGTTATTTGACTTTTAAAAATACAATCTATAAAATTATTTGTACAAATGTAATAAAATTTATTATAATAATTTAGTGATATATATATATATATGTTTCTAATATAATTATTTTAGATTTATTATGGCTAAAAAATTATTATCCTTGGTTAGATTGAATTTCTTGAAATTTTAATTTTTTTTCTAATATAATCAAGAATTTTGCTAATTAAGTAGAAAATCGTAAGTCTAATACTAACAAATTATTTATAAGTATAAGAACTTCTATGCATGTTACATAAAATGGTCATCTTTTTGTATTTATGCAATACTTATTTCTAATAGTAAAGAAGTTTTAAGTGGCATTCCAAACCAATATAAAGATTATCAAGACATTTTTTGAAAAGAATAATATTAATATTCTTTTAAAGAATTTTTTCTATGATTTTTCAATTGATGTTTTAGAATGTGGTCAACTGCCATTTGAACCAATGTACAACTTATCATAAGATAAATTTGCTTTATTTTATAAATACATTAATTAGAACTTGGCCAAAAACTTTACACATCATATTAAATTTCTATCAAGAAATTTTATCTTGTTTGTGAAGAATAAAATAAATTACTATAAATCTATTTGGATTATCAAGGATTCAATTAGATTACTATAAAAAATTAGTATCTTCTTTCTTTGTTATTAAGAATTTTTGATAAATTAAATCAAAAAATAATCTATATAAAAATAGATCTATAAAGAACAGACAAATTGATATGCATTAAAAGAGTGTTGTATCAAATATTTCTTTTTGAAATAAGTATAGATATTTTAAATATAATGTCATGTATTTTGGACTCACAAATGCACTAGCTGGTTTATAATATTTAATAAATTATTTTTTTTAAAAAAAATTAAAATTTTATATATTATCTAAATAAGACTTT